TAATATTTGGTTAGATTAATCTTGTTCTGGCCATGAGGATTTTGTTAGAGAAGCTCTGATGACCAAAGGCTTTCCAAATTCCAAGTCATATTTATTCAGTTGTTCATCAGCTTCAACTCCACCATGCCTTTCTAGAATATGAAGGCCAAGTGTTAGAACTTTCAGTGATTTCTTTATTTTTTTGCAATGTCATTTTTAAATTAAAACAATCCTGGGGAACACACAATTGAAGAACCTTCATTTCCTCTAATTAGATTCTAATTTAGAATATGCTATCTGCATTCACTTTCTGTGAGTATGTTTTCTTACTGATGAACTCCTGGGTGACTGGAGAGATAATGGATACTTCGTGTGGAGAGGAGGTCCTCTAATGATTACTTACACAAATCATTTTCACAGAACTAAATATATATATATATATATATATAATTCAGTACTGCAAGATTTTACCTATTACCAGGCACAACACCAGAAAACAAAAAGAATGAAATAAAAATCCAACAGAAGCTTCTTTTTCAAGTATCTTAACTATTCAAAGACACAGAACTAGACACTTTTTAAGGTGGCTCATTTGTATAAAAGTAAAACCCAAAAGTCTGAAATGAAAGGATTTGAATTTCTACTAATTGAACTTAATTCACTAGGATCCTTGATTCTATGTCTAAAAACATATCCTATAGCAACTATTCAGTGGACTCGTCAGTGGACTTCTTATTGGCATTCTTACAGTAGAGAAGTCAGGTGTGCGTTAAAGTATACAAAGAGGATGGAGCCCCAATTCTACTGACTAAAAGTCCTTTTGGAAAATGGCCTATGTCTCTATGTTTCTAAGGCCTAACAAAAGTTGCATGGCCTGGCATATTATAATAAACTTGCTGAATAATAATGATAGCTAATACTTAAATAGCACTGAAGATGTGCTAGACACTTTTCTGAGTGCTTTACATATTTTTAAATATTCAGTCTTCCAAACAATCTGAGTAGATACTATAATTATCCCATTTTACAGATGAGGAAATTGAATGAAATATATACTTTTAATAAGACTCTACTATTAAATATATTTATATATTGAATCTTAAGAGTATTTGTAAACTACTGATGTGATCAATTTATTATGATGATTGAGTTAATACAGCAGATGTATGACTTTATTGAGTTTTTTGAGTGCTAGGCATTTTTCTAAATGCTTTAAAGATCTAATCTCAATCCTCCCAACAGCCTTTCTAGGTAGGTACTATTACTATTCCCATTTTACAAATGAGGAAATTGAGTTAAGAGACCCATTCTTTAGAGACATCTGTTTTAAAATAAGTTGAATTTCTTTACACATTGTTCTCAAGAATGCTTGAAAAGAGAATTAAAAATTATTTTATAATTATGATCTTATAATAAGATGGTTATTAAAGCAGCTAATTGTATGGAAGTTTTTGTAAATGCCAGGCACTGTTCAAAGCATTTGTATGTAGTAAGTCATTTGATCCTAATAACAATCAGTGAGAGGTGAACACTGTTATTATCATCATTTTCTAGAAGAGAAAACTAGGCATACGGAGTTTGAGTAAATTGGACAAGGTCACATAGAAAAGAAGTGTGAATTGAGATTTCTACTCATACAACTCGATACTGTATGTGTCAGCACTGCACTTAAGTTATGTATCAATACAAAGTCTATATGGACAAACTAAATTGTGGAAATTTTCTGCATCTTCCAAACTGTGAATGAAGGAACAAATGCACCAATTTTAATTAATTATTGATGACTAGTTCATTTTAACTAATACCACTTTTTATGTTAAAACTGTTTTAGTTTCCTGCTGTTGAAATTAAAACCTTTTAGTATTAAACCCTATTTATAGTAACCAAATATACATTGAAATGACTGAAGTTAAGGAGATGCCCAAGGTACTTAGAAAAGAAAAATTCTAACTCTCAAGGGTGTCCCTTTGTCTCTCTCTCTTTTTTTTTTTTTTGTACATCCTCTATTAAACAAATAACATAAAAATAAAAATAAAAGCAAACAAAAATCCAAAATAGCGATTCTGTTTATTTAAAGAGTTAATTCACCTGAATTTCAACATTTTACTTTCTCTTTATTTATAATCAGGCATTTAAGTATATTCAGATGTTAAAGATATACCTATTGTGTAAGGCATTTGACTGCTAACCAGAAGGCTGGGAGTTCAAACCCATTAGCCACTTCTCAGAAGGAAGACTGGGCAATCTACTTTCATAGAGATACTACCTTGGAAACCCACAGAGGGGTTGCTATGAGTCAGAATCAACACAAAAGCAGTTAGTTTGGGTTATTTTTGTTTGTTTGTTTTATTAACTTTAGTTTATTTATTTACTTGAAAGTTATGATACCCTTTCTGTGATGTAGATAAAATACACATCCATACATATCCCTATTGATAATATATTAATAGCATAAGCCATGTTTTAAAGTTGACACTTCATAGCGCGTGCTTCCTCAATTTTTTTCTATATATAGACTCCACACTTTGTTGTCAATAAATAATTCCACTTTAATGGCAAAGTAATAATTTAGACAGATACAGGGTGCACATTTGCAAAAAAATATATGCAAGCTGGTTTACAAGCTAGAGGAACGATAAACCAATAGAAAATACATCATCCAGGTAAGTCCATTGACACCAAGTACTTATAGTTGGGGCTTTACAAAGACTACAAAACTTTTCAGATGATTTATTTCACTGTTTCTGTCTATTTACATGATATGTTACATCAAAAATGTACAAAATATAAAATGTATACAGACAAATGTTTCACAAACTAGTTTAAGTTGTAAACTAGGTGGACCTACTGGGATGTATTGCAGGAGGTTCTGTTTATGCTCATGTTTGGATCATGTTTCTCAAAATGGCAGGGAGAGATTAGCAATTTTTTAGATCACATATTATACAAGGGCAACTAGTCACTCATCCAGCTACATATATCGATGTTTCACAACAGATTTGATCCATATTTGAGGCTTCAAAATCAGGGTGACAATTCTATGTGCATAAATTCAGTTCAAATTTCCCTAGGGCAATAGCACCTTATAAGAACCTATAGACTCAGTGACACTCTGAAAACTGTACAGATGTCTTGTGGTGGTGGTGTTGTTGTTCTATAATAACTGACCCATGGTGGTCACAGAGAGTAGCACCAATTACACATCCTAAAGTTAGCACATTTTCACATGCATAGAACGAGTCTACACCGTGGCCTAGCCCTTGGGTTTTATAAGTTTAAAACCTATTCTCTGTGGGTGGTGGTAGCTTCTCCAATGACTCTGATCAGTTTCCATGCACTCTCTTTAAAGCCTGCCATGACAGATGCACTCTCAGACAGTTTTACTTTCCCAAAAATGTATTGGCTTCATGTACAGTTTTGAAGCATGCTCACTCTAGCACTGATAGCTCCTGCATAGTCATAACAACTGTAAATACAGGACAAACACACCAGATAATAACAGCTTTGAAGGTTTGCATTCTGATTTTGTTTGCAATGTACAGGAAATCTCAGCAAGTGAAACACCTCATAACACCAACAGGATAAAATACATTTTTTGTGTTTGTGTTGATTTGTGCAAGTTTTAAAAAGTATTATTTACAATACCCACCCAGTAGCCTGTGCAAATCTAACCTTCTTTTACAGTATAAACGCTTCCTCTTCCACAGTGACGTCACTGCTTCAGTGTTCTTTAATGCTGAATTTCTCATGTACAACAATAGCAATCAAAACAACATGCATCAAAACTATTTAAAGAAAAGTAAAGAAAAAGAATAGGGAAGGAAAGCCGAATAGTTGTGCTCATGCTGCATCTAGTATTTCCAGCTTGGCTGGATAAGAATTCAGTATCTCCCGCCTTCTGCAACTCTCTCACCTAGAACTGGATGAAAATTAGCCACATGTCTCAGCTGTAAGTGACAGTCAAAGTGGGTTTCTGAGTTATCTGAATATTTTGGATGGTAGGCAAAGCAATTTATTCACAATTTAAAAATACTGATCTTTCTCCTATCCATTTCTTAAAAAAAAAAAAAAATGAGATACAGAGATGAGGCTACTGTGTTAACTGGTGTTGCTTGTTTGTAAATGAAAAGACAGTGGAAATTACCAGTGGTTTAGGATTTAAACCAACTGTTAAACTGTTGTAGAAATCTTTTTTAAGGCAGTGAGACAGCACCATAGGAAATGTTCCTTCTTTCACTGAAAAGGCTCAAACAAATAAAGCCCTAAAAAAGCCTTTTGTCAGTGTTGACTAATAATTGGTATAAAACTCTTGTTAAGGGTGTGGGCAGGTGGTTTAAAAAGACCACTGTGGTAAAAACAACCTTATAAAACCTGTGACTCATACACAAAAAAGGTGGAGCACATCATGTGAACATGGTAGTTAAGAGTTAAATTGGCACTTATCCAGCTTGTCACAGTAGTGTTTTCTGGTAGTTGCACAATTCCTTTTGTGCTTACAGAGGAGGGACCTATTGGGTTCATTCTGAAATGGGGGGAGCGCACAACGCAAACACTACTGGAACCCTGTGACCAGCACCATGTGGCACAAAGGAGGTTGGGTGGATCAGAAAAATGGACCCTGCATGGGGAGTACAACCCCTCAGAGGAAACAAAACCTAGGGACAAAAAAGGCCTGCATTGTAAACTTTTAAAGAGGAAAAAAAAATAAATTCCAGTTTGGCTATCCCATGTGCAATCTATTCAGTTGCCCTGTCATTAGGGTCCTTTGCAGTTGCGTAATGGAGCCTTATATCACTCTGTGGATATAAAAATGCTTAGAAATAAAATAAAGGTAAGCTTCCATTTCAATTTAGCATATTGGCGGTTCAGACTTGGTTCTCCTGCCTTCCTGTAGACCATGACTCTGCGTCAGGGACCTTGACAGGGTGCTTTCATACTGGCAGTGGTTTAGTGAAAATACCTTCTCTTTAAATATATATTTTTTAAAAAGTATAGTCTTTTCCCCTAACTGTTTCCATCCTCTAGAGGGTAGATTCAAGAGATGAATCCAATATGTCTTCATGGTGGCTGGTGCTATCACTGTCGCAGCTTTGTGTGCCCGAGTAATTGGCTGCTTCTTGGAGTTTCATTAGCATATTCATCTGAAGAAAGCAAAAGAGACATCATTATAGGCAGTGGAGCATCCAGTAAGCTAGTCCCATAAAAAAACAAAGCCCTGAGTCACACGGAGGACCATCTGATCGCATCCAAGTGAAAAAGCAAAACAATTTTGCATTCTCACTCATTGCCCCTGGCTCCTACAGTCTTCCTCCCAGGCATGACTAAGACACCAAACCATAAGGACAAAATAGAGCCTCCAGATAACTTTTTTATTTGAGGTCGTTAATGAATACTGCTCCAGTAGGGAGACTGGAAAGGAAACTGTATCACAGCTGGACATCTGGGTTTGTTGCTGGAGAGTATGCCAAGCTTCCCAGCTTTTTGGCTGGGAGAAACAAAAACCGTTGAATGGCAACTGAAAGTCGTGAATGTTCATACATACACAGACCTGCACATAGGCGCACACACACACACACAGTCCCTTGAGAGAAGGAGGGGACGGAGTGGAATGAAGCCAGCTGCTGCACACAAGCACACCATCTGTGGTTCAGGAGCTGACCTCAAGAGGAGGTGACTGCACGATGCCAACCATGAGTGTTTGAAGAGGGAGAAGGAAAGAATCACTGTCAAATTCTTATTGTTGGATTTTAGGCTAAAGTATGATTGATATGCCGCTGAAAACAAAGCACCTTCTGGAACAAAAGCAGCTGTCTCAAGTTCCCCAGCCTTCTAGGGGAATGGTAATATTCATTCTAGTAAAAGTGACATCCATGGGAAAGCACCTGAGGAGACAGGCAGTAGCACTTCCATGTATTAGATAATATAATGGAGTCACATTGCTTGGGTTTCGATGGACCTGCAGCTTCACTACTAGAGGGGAAAGCTAAAATAAAAGTATCATTTAAAAATAATTGTGGATAAATGGTTCAACAATTTTAGAAAGCCCAGGAAAATCAGTTTGTATCTTCATGAGGGTAGTGGAGTTGTTTTCTTATCAAAGGTTTCTATTAATTATAATAATCTTTATATCATTTAATGCATAGTAATTTTACTTCATAAGGAAACTAAAGTTGTCTTTTCTAACTTAGAGAAATAAGGAATCTGATGCAACAGAATTGAGAACTAAAAGGATTGCTTGGTTCAAGCTATGCATGTTGTGTGCTTGTGTGTGTAAAATGTGTATTCAGTTAATGCTTGTGAAATGAATGATAAACTAGTAAGCACTAATTTCAGCAAAATTGGCTTTCTGACAAAGATAATCTATATTGAAGTTATTGTAGTATTATTCAGGACAATATTTTTTGCTAGAAGTTTTGATCAAATACTTTGAATTTATTCAATCAGCTACCAACAGGTGTAGAAGTAGTGGGTGATAAACTCTCGAACCCAATAAGCCACAAGTCTCTATAAGCACGCAGTCTCTTCCTCTCTCTCTCTCTCTCTCTCCTCTATTTTCCCCTCTCTAAAATACACATATATGTGCACATACACACACATTTTCATGTGCATTTATATTCCCTCCCTCCTTGCTTTTGTCTATCCCTCCCTCCCTCTTAAAAGCTGGCTGTTCATTCAAGCACATGAGTAAAGATGATTTTGAAAAATAGCTATGATTTTTAACACATTCCTGATTTATTAAGAGCAGTAATGGTAAATGAAGTCTATTTAAGGATTTAGGATTCCATTTCAGTTACAAATATTTGAAATCACTTCACTTTTGTATTTAAAAGTTTTGTGTAATAATAGTGTTATTAAAGCCTTATTTTTTTAAAAAATGATACCATATTACAGATATATTTCCATTAGGATAAGTTCCAAATCTTAGATTCTTCATACCAAACCAAACCCACTGCCCTTGAGTTGATTCTGATTCATAGTGACCCTTTTTAGGACAGAGTAGAACTGCCCTATAGAGTTCCCAAGGCTATAAATCTTTACAGAAGCAGACTGCCTCATCTTTTTCACACAGAGTGGTTGGTAGGTTTGAACCCACAACCTTTTAGTTAATAGCTGAATGCCTTAAACATTGCACCACCAGAACTCCATAGATTCTTAATGGTTGTTGTTGTTATGTGCCATGGAGTCCACCCAACTCATAGTGACCCCTCCTTGGGTTGCCGAGGCAGTATCACTATGGAAGTAGATTGCCCTGCCTTTCTTCCAAGGAGTGGCTGGTGGGTTTGAATGACCGGCTTTCTGGTTAGCAGTCAAGTGCCTTAGGCACTATGCTCCCAGAGCTCCTTTCTTTACCTTCTCATAGTATTGCTTTGTCCCTTCAAGCAAAATGAGATGACAAGAGTCAATGTAATAGATTATAATCATCCATGAAACTATTTCCCTTCTCTCTTCTTTTCTGTTTCATCCCCACACCCATATTCATAAACATAATCTCTATCATCAATTCTAACACCTTAGTCAGCTTCTTATGATTGCTGGTATTTAGAAATCTTCTAGTCTCTTAGACTGCATCCTCTCTCCTCCAATTTGTCCTCTTACTTTGTTAGCAAAGTGACCTTTACAAACTGCAAATGTAACTAGATAAACTCCCTTCTTAAAAACTTTTGGTGGCTCCCATTGTCTGTGTGATAAACCTTTAATGTTCCACAAGGATAAACAAAGTTTGGAATGATCTAGCAATTGTAGATTTCTATAGCTTCAATTCCACCATCACACACACACACACACACACACAGAGCTCTAGTGGCACAGTGCTTCAGGCATTTGACTGCTAACCAGAAGGTTGGCAATTCAAACCCACCAGCTGCTCCATGGAAGGAAGATGGGGCAATCTACTTCTGTAAATATTTGCAGCCTTGGAAATCCAATAGGGTTGCTATGAGTCAGAATTGACTTGATGGTAGTGGGATACACACACACATACACACATACATATATATCCCTAAACTAAGAGCTCTGCTAGAGTAGTGCCTAAAGCACTCGACTGCTAACCAGAAGGCTGGCGGTTCCAAGCCACCAGCCACTCCTCAAAAGGAAGGTTGGGCAATCTACTTCCGTAGTGATACCTCCTCAGAAACCCAAGGGGAGGTCGCTATGAATTGAGTCTGACTCGACAGCACATAACAACAACAACAATAATTTTACTGTAGTCTTCCATTATGTTTCACTTGTTTCCATAAATTTGGTTGCTCTCCATCTAATCATAGGATGGATGACCAAGCATCACCACTTTTGTGAGTTTTGTCTTTATCACTTCCTCAATTGGCTCACAGCTTTACCTACTCTTTCATTATGTTTCTGTAGTTTATATAGGCACATGTCTCTCTCTGCTACTTTCTTGTGAGAAAAGAAATGATAGCTTTTTAATCTCCTGATTGCCTTAGCTATCAGGTCTTAGCCTTAAGTACATATTTAGCAATATTTGTTGAATGAATTAATCTACAAGGTGTGCTTTTAAAAGTGTGAGATATGCTAAAACCTTGCATCCCTATTCAGACCAAAAAAAAAAAAAAAAGTTCTTACACTAAACACTGGACTTTTTTTCCCTCAGGTTTATAATTCAGATTAGACTATAAATATATTTTTTGCCTTAGGTCAACGATTATTGAGGCATTGATAGAAAAAGCAGATAAGAATATACCTAACTCAAAGATTTATTTTTAGATGAAAATAGTTTGCCATTTAACATGTCCAAAATCATAACCCCTGGTTTGTAAGATGTTTAGTGGATCAGCAGATTAGGGGTCAGGAATTTTTCTATCCAATTTTCAAGTCAGACAAATCCTAGATTTCTTTGCTGCAGTAGAAGACAAGGGTATTTAGAGTCAGGGAAAAGAGAGCTTGGCAGGTTTAGCGGACCAGGACCGTGGCAGCTGGAAAAGCTGAAGCATCACTTAAGGATGCTGAGTCCTACAAGGTTACAAAAATAACTAGCCTTATAGATAATCATCCTTACCTTAAACAGACATAATTTATCAATACCTTACAGAGGTAAGAGTGAAATTTATGAAAAATTGAGATGAAATAATCCATAGTTCTATGCTAAGGCTTATATTTATTAATTTTTAAACATCCTAACACCAGTTATTCAGTGACTGGATTCAAGCCACTACCTTGATTTCTAACTCTGTGCCAACCCTTACAGAAATTTAAGTCCAGGCCCTTATGGGGTATACAGTCAAGATAAGAAGTCATAAACAGGGAATCTCAGGACTTGAAGGAAGTCTATGCATGTATTACAGTGATTTCATGGAATCTTTGTAATAGTATGTACAATATACTGGTGTATACATTTTGATGGGGGAAAGGATCTTAAAAATATATCAGTGTTAAGAATGATCAACTTAGATGATGGTGATATGTATATGTAGAAGTTATTGGTATAAAGTATCAAATAATTATATGCTTGAGTATAGTCATAGGTTGTAACCTATGTGTTCTTCCCCCTCTCGCTTTTATTGGTTGTAAGTAACATGATAGGCTTTATTTTGGTATCTTTTGTTTCTGTATTGGCCGTGCAAGCCCAATGATCTCTTTAGTAATAAAATGGTAAGTTGACCAATGCATAACATTTGATACTGATCTATAGTAAATAATCTGTAAACATAAAATAAATACATAAATAATAGTCTTTCCCCCCTGATAATAGCATATATTTAATATTTCCTGACTATACCAAACTAATATAACCTACACTATTGTAAAGGGAGCAATGCAATTTTCATGTCAGACAAATCCTAAATTTCTTTGCTGTAGTAGAAGACACTACTGTAAGAAACCAAAGACTAAATCTAAATTTAGTCAAACTAGTTAATTCCCAAAAGTTCATTAGGTTATACTCTTCATTCTTTCATTTTAGAACAAATTCAGTTCTAAATTAAATACTAAATTATCTTTAGTATTTAATTAATTGAGTCATGCTGTTTTATTAATTAATTTATTATTGTATGTAATTTTCTGAACTATAGGAAGAATCTTTCTGTTATGGTCACAGAATTCAATCTGGCTTCAGAGTGTTTCTTGACTATTTTTAAGCATGTAAGTTTGATCTTTTGTTTAAAAATTTCCTACAGTAAAAGCAGGCAAAGGTAATAGATTTAAAATTGAGTGCCAGTATCAAACTCATCCAAATATCATTTAGGGAAACCAATGTCTTTGATTCAAATGAGAGACTATTAATGACCACACACTATCCTCAAGATTATAAGGAAAAATAAATATCAGCTTCTTACCAGGGGATCCCCTTCTGTTTCAGTTTGTGGAATGTGCTTTGAGGTTGTGGCTTCCTTAGTAGATGTGCAGCCCTCATACCCAACATCTTCTGGTCGCAACTGAAGTAATGCTGGACCCTCCTGGGGCAGAGACACTGAGCTCCATGGGTATGTGTCTAGCACCCACTTTGATGGATCTTCCCACGGTGCACGTTTCCCGTACATCTAAAAGTTGACCACATATTTAGCAAACATAGAATGCATTTCTATGCAGTAAAAAGGTTATTACTAATTGAGTGATTCCTTAGCACTTTGAGTTTTTATCGGACATTCAAGGGAATTAAGTGTCCCTAAACAATTTTCCAGGCATCCTTAGATGGCACAAATAGTTAAGCACTAGGCCACTAACCAAAAGAATGGCAATTCAATTCTGCCCAGAGGTGCCTTGGAAAAAGTCCTGATGATCTACTTCCAAAAAATCAGCCGGCCCCACAGAATACAATTCTATATGAAGTTACATGCAGTGGCCATGAGTCAGAATCAACTCAATGGCAACTGACACTTTTGGTAAATAATTTTTGAGATATTAAACACATCTGTCTATGTAGAGGGGTAGTCAAAATAAAGAAGAACATTTGGGATAAATGATCAGTATTTGGGTGGATGGGGTGGTTTATTTTAAATAGTGTAGATGTGTCCTCTCACATTTATCTTTATTACTAACTTTACAAAGTAAAAGAAAGCTCAATTTGAGGAAGAAAAGGTTCAGTTACAGAGGACTGAAAAAAGTCATTCTAGACAATAAGTAGTGAGCCCTGGTTGCACAGTGGCTTAGCACTTGGCTCCTAACCAAAAGCTCGGTTTGAATTCATGAGCTGCTCCATGGGGCAGAGATCTGGCATACTGCTTCTGTAAGGAAGGCAACCTTGGAAACCCTGTGAGGCAGGTCTACTCTGTCCTACAGGGTCACCATGAGTCAGAATTGACTTGAGGACACAGAGTAGACATAAGTAGAGTTTGCTACTAAACTACACTTTGGAAAGATGAATAAAAAAGACTTCTCTTTTCATTGTATGAGTAACTATATTTAAACTTCTTGAAGAATACTTTCCTTGATAGACATTTTTCTTCATATTTACTTTTATTATTATTACTATTTTATATATCTATATAGATATATTTATATAAGGAGTTCTGTTGGTGTAGTGCCTAAGGCATTTGATTGCTAACCAGATGGCTGCTGGTTCAAACCCACCTTGTAAGGAAGGGTTGGGCAATCTACTTCTCTAGTGATTCTGCCTCGGAAACCCAAGGAGGGGTCACTATGAGTCAGATCTGACTCGACAGCAGGGGTTTGGTTTGGGTTGTATCTATATAATCCCATTGCTTGCTGTAAAAATTTTCTTTAGATGTTTATGTATTAGATGATTAGTAAAAGGGAAGAGAAAATGAAAAATTAAAGCAAAAGCTCTGCAAGGATTCATATGGAAGTAAGAAGCCCAAAAAAAAGAGATGGTATAGCTTCATTTTAGTCCTGGCAATAGAGTAGAGGGAAGCAGATGAATCCAAGAGGTACTGAAAATGTTTTAAGCTGGAAATCAAATTCACTGAGAAGGAAGTGGTTAATGGAAATGCATAAGGACACAGAGGGCACAGAAAGAAAAGTTAAAATTCAAAGTTGTTGCTATGTGTCGTTGAGTCAGACCCAACTCATACTGACCCCTCCTTGGGTTTCTGAGGCAGTATCACTACAGAAGTAGAGTACCCCATCTTCCTTCCGAGGAATGGCTGGTGGGTTTGAACCACCAGCTTTCTGGTTAGCATTCAAGTGCCTTAGGCACTATGCTACCAGAGCTCCTGAAATCCAAAGAGGAGGGCAATATCACAGGTATACTAGTTCTTTAATATACCCTTCTTTTCCCTTGACCACCACTGAGGGCAATACTGGTTTCCAGGTGCATGTTTTTCCCCAGATGGCCTGCTGTGGAGTATTCTAAGGGGTTTGCTATGGTTTGGTTAGACACAAGCAAAATGGTTGACACCATGAAAGGGCTATGAACAGCCTTGAATTGTGTGAAGCTGTGGAAACCTTGCTAAAGAAAGGAGCCGAGGTCCTGATACTGATATCTGTGTATTTCCTCAGGGGACGCATAAGATGATTGCATGGGGAGCAATCATTAGGGCTTTTGTTTTGTTCTGTTTTTAATAGTTCTTTTGTTTTGGAGTGGAAAATTTCTCAGTTGATAACCTGCCTCCTAGAAGATGCCAACAGTAACTTGCCATACAACTTAAATTAACTGAAGGAAAATGTGTAATTCTTGAAAACAAAAGATTGCCTAGAATCAAGTAATGCCAGATTTTTAAAGAGTCATCAAGAACAGCAAAATTGGAGGTAGCCAATAAAAATCTAATTCTGTATTTCAGTGAGAATATATATTATAGAAAAAGAAGTAAAATAACGTAAATCTAAATACTCAGAATGAAATGGAGTGATTGCTGTAATTTCAAGAATCACCAAAATAAAAATCTAAATCCGTGGTATCATTAGTGTAACCCCCCACTTGCCATATGGTATTTCACCAAAGTGTTAGTTGTAATCTGAAAGGGGATCTTTCCATCCCCCTAAACTCAGATTTCCACATTGGTTGCCAGGCTTAGTTTCTCTACCCTTTTCCTCCAAGATTCTTTGTTGCCAGTGGATCCAGTGGGATGGTTCAAGACACAAATGCTTCCTTTTCCTCCTACTCTTCCAGAAAGCATATATGGACCATTCCAAGAATAACTTCCACCAGTGCACTTTTTTGACCTAGCACATTCTTCAGTAACAATGAAAACTATCTTTCCACCAAAAGATTTTCCTCTCCTATGTACTAAATTTTTCCCCAGAATGCCCACGTCATAGTTGACACAGCTTTCATGCTAATCTACTACTAAACCTCCAGAACCACAAGAAACTTGAGACATTTTTATCCCTATTCAAAAATAATTTTTATGTATCTCTCAGTTTTAGTTTAGGAAACTGGTCTTATAATTAAGTGACTATAATTTTTTCCAAATGGAAGCTTTATAGATTATAATTTCCAGGATACTATTTTACAAATAACATTGATTTAAATATTAAGAAGAAAGAACTCCTATACTTTTTAAATGAGAACTGAGAATGCTAAGCATTTTTGGTATTGTATTCATGGATTTTTAAAAAAATTTATATTCATTAGCAAACAAATATGAATTTAATAATAAAAATTTAGATGACAATTAACACTAAATCTCCATCCACAGGATATTCATTTGCATATTGATTTAAACTTATGTTGTCTAGAAAATTTTCCAAAATATTATGTTTTCTAGAAGTGAAATGAAGTATAATTTTTTTATGTATAGTAAAATAAACAAATAAAATTGCACTAAAACCAAAAAAACCAAATGGACTATCCTCAAGTCGATTTCAACTCATAGCGACCCCACCCTGGGTTTTTGAGGCAGTATCATTACAGAAGTAGATGGCCCGAACTTCCTTCTGAGGAGTGGCATTATGGAAGAAAAAAATGTGGAAAAAATAAACCATATCTTAATTCTAATAGCAGTTGTTATAACCAGAATTAGAGATGCTTAAGCAAAAACTGACTAAATTTTGGCTGAGTTGCTGAAAACAGGATTTGAATTCTTCCACAATAACTTGGGTCATCCAACACAATTTTAAGGACTCAATTTGAGTTTTACAATTCCATAATTTATTAAAATTCCAACTCCAATGTAAGGAAACAGCAATATTTATAGAAAGGGGAAATACACATATTGTTGAAGAAAATTGGTTTGTCTCATTAATTATATATTTTTTAAAGACTAAACAGAGGGTTTTGTTGGAGGGCCTTATGATGTAAATAGATGAAAGGAATAGTAGAGATGATGTTAAACTACTATGTCATAGATGAAAAGGCTAAATGCTTTAGAATTTACAGTACTTACTCAAAAATGGTGTTTAAGAATTTCAAACATGACATATACTAAAAACAGAGAACTGAGAAGTAAAATCTACTTGTTGCAAAACATTTGGTTGGAGTATAAAGGGCCAAGGGTGATGTAAGTCATGACTGCCTCACAAGATGATGTTGTTCTTGTTAGGTGCCTTAGAGTCATTTTCAACTTACAGTGACCTCACATACAACAGAACAAAACACTGCCAGTCCTGCACCACCCCCACAATTGTTGTTATGCTTGAGCCCATTATTGCAGCCACTGTGCCAATCCATCTCATTGAGGGTCTTCCCCTTTAGCACTTATCCTCTACTACCCTGGTGGTGTAGTGCCTAGGTATTTGACTGCTAACCAAAAGGCTGCTGGTTCAAACCCACCAGCCATTCCTCGGAAGAAAGATTGGGCAATCTACTCTGTAGAGATACTGCCTCGGAAACCCAAGGATGGGTCTCTATGAGTCGAAGCGACTCAATGACACGGAGGAAAAACTTTTTTTTTTTTTAACCAAACGTAATATCCTTTTCCCAGCACTGGTCTGTCCTGATAACATGACTAAAATATGGGAGATGAAGTCTGACCATTCTCACGTCTACGTAAAATGTAGAGCTATGTAGTCACCTGGCTACCTATTAAAGCAGTGTATACACCCACAGCAATAAAGTTGACCGTAAATATGTGGTTGTTAGAATAACCTTGCTTGCTTTTTTTTCCTATATATGTTTCAGAAAAGGCAAAAGCATTGAACAAAAGTTGCTCTTACTTTAGCGCTATATTTACATAATTCATGCCTTTTGCTCCTGCAGAAATACTCAGAGAAAAGGCATTTTCTTAAGTAATAAAGACCATTGGGGACTATACCTGAAGACCTTCTCTCACTGCCTCCAGAATATAAGGTACCAAAGAATAGTTCCAGAGATCCATGAACCACACTCTAGAACCTTCTACATCCATAGGGCAAGGAAGGAAGAGTCGGGGCCCTGAGAAGAAACAAATAACAAAATATTTTTGAGATGCATTATAATTAGCCATCTAAACATATCTCTAGGCATTATTTTGGGGATTTAATACAATTCTTGTTTGATTTTTAGAAAATAGCTTGATAATTATTATCATATATTTTACTAAAAACCCAGTATCTTAGGCCCTTCTTTCTTAAAATCTTAATCTAAAGCACAGAATATTATGGTTATGAGAAATCTTTAATGTCATAATGCAGTCAACCTGATCCATTTTACAAATGAGAAAATGGATTTCCAAATATAAAATATGTTATTATTTGCAGAAGTAGAAGAGCCCATATCTTCTGATGCCAAATTTGGAATTTTTATTTCTAATCTTCATAAAAGGAGTTATTTGTTTAATCTACATGATATAGTTAGTGAGTCAATCTGTGTGATCCATAACAATGTGAAAAGGACTTCTATCCAAGCAATTTAAGAAGGAATATAAAAATAAACATCTTTATGTCAATTAAAGAAAGATAATTTTAAAAATTTGGTCTTTCTGAAAATACCAAATATATATATATTACTGTTGTTGTTGTTTTCAGGTGCCGTCCATTCTGTTTTTCACTCACAGCAACCCAATATGACAGAGTAGAACAGCCTCATATGTTTTCTAGGCTATAATATTCACAGGAGCAGATAACTAGGTCTTTTCTCCCATGGAGTCATTGGGTGGGTTTGAACTACCAACCTTAGAACTGTACCCTAGAGTTTAACTGTTGTACCACAGGACTCCTTGAAAAAATATCAGACACTTAAATCATCTCTAAGTAAAATCTTTTCTCACAACTATATTTGATATGCGCCATCAGTTAAAATTTGGTTTTAGCATAAAAACGGTACCCTAAACAGACACTATTTATTTCAAATGGTCATCTGATTTCTGGATATTCATATATATTAAACTTATTTGATATCAGTAATATGCGATTTTTATAAGTGATGAATATTTGAAAAAAATGAATTGAGAAGAAAGCAAACTTTCTGAAAGGAAAAAAGTAAATTTAAATCTTTAGAAGTTCAACAAACTTAGCTTGTTTTGTTATTTTTCACCACTCAATCTGGCCATCTTCATCAAGCACTCTTCATTCCTGGAGGATAGCATATCCACTATCCCCAGGTTACAAATGAGATCTGTTCCTAAGTGTGTCCTTAGGTCAAATTTGTAGGTACGTTGGAACAGGTGCATACAGTTCTTATTTAACCATACTTCAGTGCAAGAAGGAGCTCTGGTGGCATAGTGGTTAACATATTGGAAGGAAGGTTGGGCTATCTACTTCTGTAGTGATACAACCTTGGAAACCTAAGGAGGGGTTGTTATGAGTTGGGTCCAACTCATGGCACTTAACAACAACAACAACAACAACAACAACAACCTAAAGATCTTCAACTTGAACCTACCATCTTCTCCCCATGAGAAGGATGTGGCAGCTTGCTTTCATAAAGATTTGCAGCCTGGAAAACCCCATGGGGCAGCTCTATTCTGTCCTATAGGGTCACTATGAGTTGGAATTCACTCAGTGGCAGTGGATTTTGGTTTGGTTTGTAGGGAAAGAAAAGCCTCAAAGCCTTTTCAATAATTTAAAAGCTTTTCACAGCAAGTGAAGGTGATTGTGATGAAGAGTTTCTTTCTAGCAGGGATTGGTTTAATCAGTGCAAAGGAAAGGCAAATTTACATAACATTAAAGGCAAGTCCAAATTATACATACGTCGGATCTTTATAACCTGGGGATGGCCTGTATTGTAATTTTGGAACTCACCAATGGTAACATCAGAAGAACTGTGCGTTTCCAAAAAACTGTTGAGATGATGCCACGTCTTAGGAATCCAGTCTATAATTTTGACTAAGTCATTATTGCGTATGTTCCTTTCAATTTCTATCTCTATCATTTTCCTTCGAAGATATCTGCCTAGAAAACCTTTCACCGGTTCTGTGTGGTTTGCACATAGTACCCACCTAGAAAAAAAAGATCAGACATTTTTTATAATTTAAATTTAAGTCCACAGTGATACCCTGACCAATATAAAGTAGCTATGTTCCCATTTCAATTGATGGTACATTTCTATAATTAAAGGGTTTAAGAAGTTTATTATCATTAGAGCTTTAACTTAACTAACACTTCTTTTTTGAGCTAAAGAGAAGCTCATGTGCGTCAGAGGTGAGTGGGAGGCTACATGCTGAGCACTCTTCTGTAGGAGAATCACAAATCCTGAAATAGGAACTCTTTTCACATCCTCACACTTAGAAGAAAAGTGCTCTACTTTAGCTGGTGACATAGTGAGTAGGAGAAACTTTTCTTTTTTTTTTTAAGCAACACTTCTGATTATAAGAAGAGGATCACAGAAGGTCTGCCTGATAAAGAGTGTCTGAAGAAGTGAGAATTATTTGCACACCACAGGTCACCATTGGCAGAATCTGTCAACTTTGAAATAGGAAAAAAAAAATACCAACCAAAATAAACAGAAGCAACAATAAAACAAAACAACACACACACACACAATTTATCTTTACCTGAAATTGTGATGCAGCTCTAGGTTTGGTGATGAAGAAACTCCCTGATTCATTGTTCCAATAATGTAAGGACTGGAAAATAAAAAAAGTAAATAAAAATATAAAAAAAGGAAAGGACATTTAGTATACTGGGGAATAAAATAGATTAATATGTTAGAAAGGCCTTAGAAAATAGTTATATAAATATGAAGTATTCCATTTTGAGATTGGGTTTGAAAACAAAAACTTTGTAATTTGAGGTTGAAAAATGACAAATCATTGGGGTGGAAAATGAGACTTGGGGTTCTAGTTTCAGCTCTGGCATCCCAGACAAATTGTTTTCTCTCTCAGGGGCTGAGTTTATCAATGTAAAATCAAGAGATTAGCATAATCACACTGGTCTCTTCCTAGTCTAATATCTTATGACTTATTATTCTAATCAATTTCATTGCTTCTTTAGCTTAATTCTTTACAGTTAGTTTAAAAGGTTCTAACTTACATGAGAGAATTTGTGTTCTAGCTTCAACTCTTATTTTATTTTTATTTGTTTTTAAAGGTTTATTTCTATAGCAATGATTACTTGATAATATCTGGCACCATAGCAGGTAGTATCATTTATGTTAATGTTCTTATGTATCCTTTCTTTAAGGGACATGCTACAATTGATCTCTAACAGGTTTTCAGATCATTATACCCTACTTTAACTTTCCCTTTCATAGTAATGTTTACAAATCAGATCCATTAATAGAATGAGTTATATCTGAATTTATTACAATATTCCTTATAGGAAGGGTGAATTTAAACATTGAGATGGATTGAAAATGAAACCAGAGATTGAGAGGCTCATTCCAGTTCTTAGTTTCCCTGATTCGAACTATTCTATCATTGATATTTAAATCCCCCAGACTTTCAGGATATTGTGGATGCTTACATCATTAAGGAAATAATGTTTCCAGCCTGTATATATGTACCTGTTGAAGTAATAGATAAATGTTCTAAGGAACATAAGGATGCCTTGGAAATATGCTGTAAAAGTAACATGGGTTTCTCAAATTAATTATATCCATTACAGGTCTAAAAAGTATAAAGGCCTAAGAACTCAACTTTGATCATAATTTTTCACATTTCCTCATTAAAGATTTGATAAGCATACCATTTGTTATATTTACAGTTGAGAAAGCCATTGAAGATATCACTCAAAGAGCCCATCACATGATGAAGATTATCAAGGATTATTACAACTGGGAGCTCTGCATCATTATTATCAGCACTGCACTGTTCAGCCAGGTTAGCTAGATATTGCTGTACTTCCTTTAAAGAATAGAGAAAAGAAGCACATCAGTGATATGTTTATACCACATGGCAAGTGATTCATATTTGCTTTCCATTGGCAAGTTTCGTTAAAAACACATAGATCATTCCATCGATATAAAACCCTAGACTACAAAGCAAAGAACATACAAAGCTGAGAGAGCATTATATAAAAAAAAAAAAAAAAAAGGAAAGAGAAAAAAGAAAAGGAGAAGGTGAAAAGAGCCAGTAAAGAACACCTACATTAAATACAAAATTGTGAACAAAACAACATATTTCTCAGTTGTTTTCCTCTAAAAAGAGAAATAAAAAGAGTTCTAGGCATGAATTCTTATGAAAAACTACAAATATCAAAACTTCCTTATTTTTGGTATTCCAGTGATAAAACTGAAGTTTAGTGAACTTTATAATTTCAAAGATAGATTAAATCCAAAATGTCATATGTGCCATTGGGTCATCTCTGACTCATAGTGACTGTATGTACAACAACAGAATGAAAGACTGCCTGGTCTTGCGCCACCCTCAAATCTTTGTTATGCCCCAGCTCATGGCTACAGCCACTGTCTCAATCCTTCTCGTTGAGGGTCTTCCCCTTTTTCACTGAGCTGGGCAATCTATAGGACCTCTGGTAGCACAGTGCCTAAAGCATTTGGCCACTAACCAGAAGACTGGTGGTTCAAACCCACCAGCCACTCCTCGGAAAGAAAGTTAGGCAATCTACTTCTGTAATGATACTGCCTCAGAAACTCAAGGAGGGGTGGCTATGAGTCGGATCTGACTTGATGGCGGTGAGTTTGGTTTTTATTTTTTTTTGGGGGGGGGCAGGCAATCTACTTCTGTGAAGATTTACCACCTCAGAAACCTAATGAGGGTCGCTATGAGTCGGAATCTACTTGATGGCAGTGAATTTGTTTTGGGTTTTCTTCTACTTTCCCAGGCATGTATCCTGCTCCAGGGACAGATCCCTTCTGACAACATGACCAAAGTACATGAGGCTTTCCAAAATGGCACCCTAAATTTGCTAATACTTTTAATATTTTATTTCCAATTTGGGTAGATGGCATACATTTAAAAATGTAGCCCCAGAACTCAAATAAAAGTGTGGTTACTTACAACGTGCATAAAATTACTGTGTTTTTAAACAAAGACAACTTTTATTTTTTTTCACCCTCACTGGGTCACTTGAAATTCGCATTTAACAGTTCTAGAGCTTCTCAAGTCTATTACAGGTATTATCCCTGCAAAGTAGCTTTTAATCTAAATATGATAACCAGTTTGCTGATTGACTGCTCTCACAGATGGGTAGGCCAGGAACATAATTAGGTTTCTCAGAGTTATCCTAATCAGTAAAAGCATTTCCATAATATTTGCATATTTACAATGACATTTTTAATTTGTAAATCTTGCTGAGGGTTAAAAAAAAAAATTCTGTGATCCTAATTTTTGGCAGGCAGGTAAATATGTAAACTGTATATCCTAGATGCCTCTCCCTCTGTCAGAAATACAAGTTTTAGAAGTAAAAGTAGAAGAGTATAAAACCACCATGCCCAGGGTTTTGAAGCATTTATTAATATATTCATTTAAGTTCAAATATAAAATTTATTAGAGACCAATGTACTATGTGTCTTATATTGAGCCAACCAAATAGAATGCTGTCTAAATCAAAGAATACAAAATAAATAAACTTTGAGAATAATTCAGAGTTTCACTTACTTAAAAAAGATAAAATAGAATTTACAACATTGATCTAGCTATATTAGGTCATTTATTCATTTATAAATTATTCACTACCTACATGCTTATGTCCTGGGAGCATACAGAAATATGAAGTACTGCACTTGTTATTATGGAGTTCAAGTTAAGTTTAACATATATAAGAACTACATTGTATACTTTTCTGAGCATAGGAGTTAAAAGGGTAATTAGACTGTCTTCTGTAGGTGCTAAGAGTTTCCACATAAGAATTTAAATATGAAAAATAGTTTCAATATAATGTCACAAGTGTATTAGGATCTATGAGATGTGTTTGTGGGGGTTAACCTAGATGGTGGGTGCCAAGGAAAGCTTTCTGGAAGAGGTAACTTGGAGCTCAGTAAGGATGGTAGGCATGGACATAAATAATGAACTTAGAAAGTGCAATGTGAAACATTCCATGGAAGAGGTTAAAGTAGGAATGTGGCTTACAGAAGGGGAAGGGATCAGTTGCAACAGGGAATCCTGACGGACTACATAGGGAGGTGGCATTTGGGATATATCTTAAAGAATAAGTAGAATTCATACTGGCTAGTATAGAGTTCTGGTAGCGTAGTGCCTAAAGCACT